ATCATTGCTGAATATCTCCTGTCGTGGTATGGACAGAGAAAAACAATCCATAGCTCCATTTTGTCACATTTAGTTGATAGTGGCCATGTAGTGGAGAAAACAAAAGCTTTCAAGGTAATTCATTGTATCCCACCGGATCTTTCCAGTAGACTTTGTGTTCGTCTGCTGCATACAACTGAGACGATAGGCATTCGAACTATTAGGCCCCTAAACTATACATTCAAAAGAAGTTCGTACAGCCATTATCCCTCCCGCATTGATCTATTAAGATGTAACCAACTGATGACTTCTACACCACCCCTTACTAATATTTTCAACCCCACTCTCTTATCATCCCTTAATCTTATCACATCTTCATTAAAACGTATTTTGTCTACTTCCCTTACAATCTAGCATTACTCAATCGGTTTATTTGTTTTTCTGAGCCTTCATTGACTACTTCTACCTGAACATATAGTTGTTTAATCATTCTGTTTTTCGTTATTCTTGTTAACACATATCGTTTCACTTTTTCATCCTTACTATTAATAGAACCGTTACTATTATTATTATTATTATTATTACAATTACAATTATAATGACTAATTGCACAACTTATATGCACACTCTTGTCGTCCTATTGACCAAAAACCCTGTGACTGCTATATATTTGGTTAGAAAAACAAATGAATTGTGGAGAACCAATAGACTCAGGTGGCAGACTACCAACTTCGTCTATAGCCAAACATCTAATCGAGATGAACCATAAGACTGATGCTAACACAGCCTTTAAGGTCATCTATAAAAGTGGTCAAGGGTGCTTATTGAAATACGCTGAGGCTATAGCTATCCATAAACTTAAGCCCAACCCCTCGCCCACTGTGTATTCAAAAGCAGTTTATTATTACTCCTGTCCTGCATTGGTAGTCCTTACTTGATTGGATTACTAAACGTTGTGTTAATCATTCTTACATCTTTCTTTTTGTCACTTTGTTTAATATAGTTGCCTTTAATTTTTTCATATATATCGACTTGACAAGTAAATGTGTGAGGGATCAGATTGTTCGAAATGTATGGCGCAAATAAATCACATTATTTTTTCAGATAATCTCCGTCTTCTAATAACACTGTCCAAATACTGCTATTTCTCTTCTTCAACAAGCCTAACTAAACTCAATGCACTATGCTACCCGCTTAATCGGGAGTTGATCTCTATCTGTCAATGCTGACCACAAAACATAAATCAGAAAGACTCTGTTACTTGTGATTGTGCTCTAAATGAACAGTAGATTTTAGTATGATAAAAGTTGAGGTTATTTCAGGTGGGAGGTTTTTCAGCCTATCCGCCTAATAAGTATTACCTGGGTGTCAAGGAACTTAGCCCTAAGTTCCTATTGTAATGAAGACGTAAGCGATTTGAACCGATAAATACTATGTATTTCTTTCAACTTTGAATCCAAAACACCAATATTCCTTGAACGAAATTATATTGTTTGGCAATTAAAGTGAAGACAACTACAAAGTCTGCAAACAAATGTTAAGTACAAATGAAGTTATAAGGTACTTTTATTCGTGTTCTTTCCACCTTCTTCCAACTTGCAAGCGATCGTTCCATTCGCGCCTTTCAATTGCCCACCAATGGTTGCCAGTTCCAATAAACAAACGTTCAATGTTCACGTCCATTGACACTGGGGATTCCGAGAATGCACTTATTATTCAGAACAAAGGATAGCACAAAAATGATGTCAAACCCTAGTTGGATGCCTACTATTTGAAACAAACTTGTAAACACCCTAAGCATCCGATTTCGAGCTAAATATTTATTTAACCGCTTCAATTTGTGCTATTTATTTTAGCCTAAGTTTCTATTATGGTACCAGGAAGGTGCACTACAAAGCTACCAGTTAAGCATCTATGATTGTTTCTGGGTGAAAACTGTATTGTCTTGAAGTTTTCACGCCGTGGTATGGCTAACTGTGTATGTGAAAGATTTAAAATCTGCTAAGTTTCAGCGACTGATCAGCCTTTAGCTTGATGCGAGTTTAGTCCTATCCAAATATTAGAGTGGTCATGAAGTGAATGTGGTTCGTTGGAAATCAGATGCCTTCATGTTACATTCTGGTCAGACCACTGTGATCCTACTTTGAACGTCCATCGTTGCAGTTGCTTACGCCTGGGTTTTGATGCAGAATTGTGTTGTAACAGTGCTATTAGCAGTTTCGTCTACTGAGGGGGCTATTTCAGCCAGAATAGGCTGGGATGATTCGACACCAGAAATTTTAGAGTGCTTGACCAACCCGATAATTTCCATTTGTTGTCCAAGGAATTTGCCTATCCTTGATGCATCTAGTATCTCCTTCGCCATTTTGATATTTTCCTAAAGTTTTTTGATTGCTAAGGCCACAGTATATGTCACTTGTTCTCGGAACAGTGAGCTTTCTTCTCTTTGAGATTAACCTTGAAAGTGTTATGTAGATAGACAAAGTAACTTTCTGAATTAAACCATCCTATTACACCAGAATAATCTGCCCGTGCTAAAACATTTCTCTATCGTTCCCAGCATTAGCTTCTTTGGTTTGATTGTAGTTCTATGTAATTTCGACCTCCACAGGCAAGTGAGGCGATCAATAGTTAAGTGTTGACAGTCGCTAAAAACGTCAGGAATTCAAAGAGGTCGTTAGTTTCGACCTAGATGAGTTACTAATCCAAACCCCGTATCTCCCTATTCTAAGTACTCAATTAATAGTATCACAAACCGTTACACAGTAGGAATGTGAGTGATCATGCGATTGGTCTCTGATTCTTGAGAACTTTGACGTATCTTGATTGTAGTTTAAAATCCATCTTAACACATTGAGAAAAAACAATAAATTGAGTAGTGAATATTCTAGAAAGGACTGAATAAAGCTAGACACAGCTCAGTATTAGCCGACCTCCCCCCCCACCAACACAGGATGTGAAGTCGACAGTGGCAGAAAACTTTCCAATGTCATTTGTCGTATCTCACCCAAACTTTTGCATTCCCTAAGACTTTTCACCTGAATAAGCCAAATCTGTGTGCACTAGAGAAGTTTGTGCCTCGCCTTTCTTTGCAATAGCTGTCCACATAATATGCATGGAGTTCTCCATCCGTGTAACTATGATTTGAAATTATTATTTTCTATGATTGCTATTCTAGTTAATTCAGTTGAATTATTTGTACCCTGATATCTTGGCATTTCCAACAGGCTTCGAAATTTTATCAACGACTGCCTTCGCTGACTCCATACTGAAGACCAAGTGGCCGGCTAGAAATAATTAGCAACAAAGAATCGTGACTTTGAAGCTTCCTAGAACCTATACCCCAACAAATATGTTGAAGAAAACGCATATCGATCGGACACAAACTGAGGAGACCGACAAGTGACATCCTGCGTCAGGAGCTATGGTTCGAGTGGGAATTGAATAGAAAACGACAAATTGGGTGTGCGTCCGAGGATGGAATGGAAGAGATCATGTGAAAAGGAGATGAAAGCTTACGGTTGTCAGCTGTGTAGCCAGCTAAAGAAGACTTCAGGGAAGAGGATGAGATGGAGATATGCTGTTGAAGCCCCATGTCCCACTTGGAACTTGAGGGAATAATAATATCCTTATGTTTAAATTATTCACCTATTCATTTCAGTCAGCATTATTTTGCAAATTACCGGTTACATAACAACCTGTTGCTAATCGCTACAAATGAAGTGATCTTGAATTCCGCAATTACTTTCGCCTCTCTTACGTAGCTTAAAACTGATAATTCTTATTGACTGACATCAACACACGACTGGGATAATTTGTATGTGAGGGTATATATATATATATATGTATGTTTACGTTGCGCCATTGGTTCAGCGGTGGAACGCCCGCCAACCATGCATATGATCCGGGGTTCGATCCTCAGATGATGCACTGCTAAATACCTCTCAGCTGGTAGTAAGCCCAGTAGAAAGGGAAGGTTAAGCGTTAGGCTACCAACCCTAAAATGTGAAGATAAAACCACCTGCTACTGAAACTTCGAAGCTCAAGTTTCAAGCCCTATCTTCTACTTGGTTAGCAAAGGAATAAAATTTTTAAAGATATATATAAATATTAGTGTAAAGAGAATGATGAGGAACTAATTGAGGAAGAATATATTTCTTCAAGTATCGAAATCACAGTTTGTGCAATCTATGCAGTTAGAGTGAACAAAATTTCACCGCAATTTCCAAGTTATTCAGATCAAAATAGGTGATCTACTCAACACTACTCAAACTGTTTAGGTTGAAAATTGCCAATCAATTTACAAGCTGTGAATTTTGATTTATGCTACGACCAATTTGATCAAATAGCTTACCAGAAATTGAATGTGTGTGGACTGATTCGTCCCCCCCCCACTGAGTTGAGTCAGACTGCCTACACTTTTGATGAGCTTCGCATCAGATGAGTGAAACGGTCATCAGCTGTTAAGATCACCTCGATATGGCTGGTCAGCTATCAAGCACTACTGGTTGATGTATGAGTGATATGCCACTACTCATCTCATTTAATCAGTAGTACGTTTAGTTTAATGCAAATATATTTCTTCCCTGAGTTTATTTTTATTGTCTAAAGGTCACGGTTGATGATACGATTAAAATGACTCCTTTCTGTCGTCTCTGAGTGGTGAATTTACTTCGGAAAAAATGTGATTAAAAAGGAAGACGGTTAATGATTTTTCAGTTTTTATTATAACCAATACATATATAAATAAATAGAATTAAAATAATCCCTTCACTCTCCCTTAAAAAAATAAGAATAAAAATATTTGTGCGAAGTGACAAAAAAGGAGATGGAGTCTCCACATCGTTCAACGGTGATTGTGAATAGTTCAGTAAATCTCTCTACACATAAATAAAATTTCCCTGATTAGAAGGATAATTTAATTTTTGTTTTGGTATAGGGTAGAAATTATAAAAGTATACACAAAGTATCCCAACAAAAATAAAAATAGAAAAACAAAACGAAATAATTTTTTAAGTTATTTAACAATGAACTAATGGTGGAACATTTTTTCCAAACTCTAAAGAATAATTTCCAGGTGGATCATATCGACCAACAACATAGATACTTCGATGATCCTTTGAAAATGCTCTACCGAATCCAGCTCGTAATGTCGATTTCCAGATGACTTGTGTAAAATGTCCTGCAAGAGAGAAAAGAAATAACTATTAGATAAGTGGCAAACAGCGAGCAATGAGGAAACAGGCATAAAATGGACTCACACAAAAAACTTGGAGGATCTGGATTTCGCCAATGATATATGTCTGATTTCCCACAAACTGGAAGATATGCAAGTGAAAAGCAACAAGTTGGCAGAACAAGCATCAAAGATAACACTTCAGATGAACATAGAGAAAACAGAGGTGATGAAGATTCCTGGGCAACATCAACACCAACAACAAGTGACAACAATCAGCATAATTGGGAGGAATCTGAAAGAAACAACCTCTTTTACCTACCTGGGAACCATCGTTTCAAATACAGGCGGGCAGAACTGATGAGGATATCAGAGTGAGGATCGGGAAAGCAAGACAAGCCTTCATTTCTCTCAAGCTGTGTGGAGGTCAACAGCATTCAGCGTCAAAAATAAGATCCGGATTTTCAACTCCAATGTGAAGTCAGTGCTAGTATACGGATCAGAGACTTGATGCGTCATGAAGAGCACCTCAAACAAACTACACACCTTCATAAAAAGTTGTCTTCGCTCAATATTCAAGATTGAATGGCCAGAAAAGATCAGCAACAGGGATCTCTGGGAGCAAACCGAGCAGGAACCGATTGTGCAACAAATATACAGGAAGAAATGGAGGTGGATTGGCCATACTGTGAGAAAACAAACCATCAAGTGACATCACACGACAGGCCATCGCTCGAGTGGAACCTGATAAGGAAGCGGCGAGTTAGTCGTCCAAGGGTGACTTGGAGGAGGTGATGTGAAGAGGAGATGAAAGCATGTGGGCAGACTTGGAGCCAGGTGGAAACGTTGGCAGAGAACCGAACGCAATGAAGACGCATGGCTGAAGCCCTATGTTCCTCTAGGAATTAAAGGAAACAATAATAATCATAATACTCGTGGCTCAGGTGGATGTTGACTTCTGTGAGTTGCATGGCTTAACTGCGAAGCTTTCTTACTGACATTAGGCTTGAGGATGTCATTCGAAAGGACAATGGAAGCCTCTCAACTTACAAACCTAAACAATACCAAACTATGTAAAGTACACCTGAAGTTACTCTGGTTGATGGTGACTAGGAATTAAGCCCAGGAGATGCATTTCGTCCCGAATGGTACTCGTTAATTGGATGTACCTGTAGTCCCCATTGATTTATGATGTTTTCACTGAGACTCTAACTCTTCACCCATCATTTCAAACTCTAGAACTTCATCTACTAGGCCATGAGAACAACCTTTTATGCAATTGGTGCCAGATATTTTTTAATTTATTTTTTTGATACCCGCTGCGTAAGAGGCGGGTTTGAAATGATGGGTACAGGGTATGAACACCACCATTCAGTGAAAGTTCAGGTAGATCCAGCTGGTGAATCCTAAATAGTACGGAATGTACATCCTGGATTTCAGTGTGCTAATCACCAACAACCCAAATAACTTCAGCTTATTCATTAGACATTATACTAGAGGCCGACGCATCAACAGAGACCGAACACTTCGGTATCCATTTGGTCGAAAACGAAACCTGATCCGGTCGCTTGCCACTCGTGTTCGGCGCATATGTAGCCCTGATACTGTGGAAGATGAGTTATACATCTTGAGGAAAATCCTAGTAGAAAATGGATTTCCACCACGTTTTATAGATAAGAATATACATTCAAATCCTAAAAAACGTGACTTATCAACCGTACCAAAGAAGATACTTTACATGAGCTTGGAATTCAAAGGGGACTTAGCGTCCGATATCATGAAACGAAGGATATCACAGTCCCTGAAAAGAACATTCCCTGCTGCGTCTCTGAGAATAGCCTTTACTAGTCGACCATTATTGTTCAAAAACCTGAAGGACAAGATCCCACAGTTGACCAACTCTATGTGTGTTTATCAATTCACCTGCTCGTGTGGAGCTAGGTATATCGGTCGTTCGACACGAGTTTTGTCCAAGAGGGTGCAAGAACACTATCCTGCATGGTTACGAAAAGGTGGAAGTGGAGCAATAAGAAGCGCGATCATTGAACATCTGGTCGATAATGATCACCCTATCTCTATAGCCTCTGCCTTCAAAGTCATCTACAAGGCCAAAAGTAATTTACCCAAATCCCTACGTACCCGACTCATCTGTATTGCTGAAGCTTTGGCTATCGAAACAGAAAAGTCAGATCTCTGTTTACAGAAAAAGTTCGTTCAACCCCTCCAACTTTCATGGTCTTAATCCCTCTATGCTAAAGTATGGTAATCCCCAATCATATTTTAGCTCTACCAATTTTTCATTTTTTCATTTTTGTCTTTTCAATTTGTATACTCTTCCTTATTAAGTCAATTGTTACTATTACTACTCTCACTTTTAATTGTTCCCGGTATTATTTCACTTGTTCCACTTGTCATTCTAAATCAATTCATTTTTACAACAAAATATTATGTAACGTTTTTATTTTGTTCGATTTGTCTACTAATCTTATAATTGCACACCTTTTTCAAGTTTTATCCATCCTATGAATTATTCTATATATGACATTAATTTGCTTTGCCACTTGACATTTAACTACGATTATAATCACAAACATTTTAAGTTTTAATTTAATTTCATATTATTATTATTGTTATTATTTTATGCATTTACACCTATGTTTCAATTCTCTCACCGGATACAACTTCTTAAAAACACCATATATATACGATTGTACAACTTGATGATAAATTCGTTGAAAAGAGTCTGTTCGCTGAATCACCATTTGTTTTGATTTTCAATATAATGAGTCAACGAGAAATGCAAAATTAAACGAAAAACAAGTACTCCTATCACGTTGACCACAAGTTATTGAGCAGACGAATAGCTGGGGTGTACAAGTGTTTTTAATAAATTCTTATTCAGGCGCTAGAATTATGAATCTTTTCATTTCAGCATGCATGATTTCAAAATGTGTATCATCTTACTTTAAGCCAGAAAAATAGTAGCATGGTAGCCACATTGCAAACTTGCCTAATAGAATTCAGTCTGCACCAAACAAAGGACGAGATACATGACATGACACGAGTTACTACTAAGTGTCTTATCGAAGAAGCACGTTTATCTGATCAACCCTAAACACATAAAATCCAAAACTGACAAAGAAAACCACATCTCTGTCCTGAAGAAGATGCTATAAATGAATGTGGCTTTCAAACGCAACATTCTGGCCGCCGCCACTCAGTATCTGTCCTAGTACACAAGTCGCTGGACCTCAATGGTCACGACCTCTCACAGAACTTCCTCCCATAGCCAGTCACTAGGAAGCCGCAGAATAATATTTTCAAGTGTTAGTTTTTAGGTGTTTGATTGCTATCAAGCTTCACTACGGATTGATATCACTCAGAAAATCATTGAAAAACATGGAGTGCTGGATAGCTGCCTCGTCCCACTGGTGACTCTTCATTAGGAAGTGAGAGTAATTACTGGAATGATAATCTTAATGAATAACCCTGAACAACCTTACAACTTTTATACTGATCACTGACACTATCCTATCCTTATGCACTATGAACTAGGCCGTGGATTTTCGAACCCTGTTTTCGAGATAAAGATCCCAGCCACATTGATGAATTTATGTTCTTAAGTTAGTTAGTTTCGCATAAATATTTTGATAATTCTCTAAGGAATGGGAGGACAACATCTTGGAGAATGAAAAAGACGAGATAAATTTCAAAGTCATTCAATGACTAGTCCGTCTTTCAAATGGATTTCTATCTTTTACTGAATACTTTGCCTTTGACTTACCACAAGAAAATTGATTTTCTTTATTGAAATCGTATTCTTCTATTTCTTGATACCATGTCTTTGTGGCGTCAACACCTGCAGGATATTAATTAATACACAGTAGAAATAAAATATCAATAAAGTCTTATATAAAAATGAAGTAAATATTAAAATGCTGGGACATGCAATCGTCAGAGAGTTTGTACTGCTGCTTCTTATGAGTCATTGGAAAGTACTCACATCAGCCGATCAGTATTTGTTGGTCATATTGTAGTGATTTAAACACTAGATAGGCGTTTCACTTGTTTGTCTACTGGGCTCAGAGGGCTGAATTGGTTCAAACTAACCGGAATTCCAGCTACTAACTAGCTACCCTACATATTCTAGAAAGCACAACTGTTTGAGTTGTATGGTCTTCAACTACTGATTTAAAACAGTAGTATATACTACCTTGGTTAATTTTCTTTACTTAATGGTCACATTAACAATGTCTAACAGTTAATATTAACTGTAATTGGATCAATTTGGATTGTCAAGTGGAGACACTTATTAGAAAAATATCACCGTATGTTGCCATGTCAACTCACTTAAATCCCGCCTATAAAACTGTAGAACTGAAGTAATTTCTATTAAATCATGAAATACTATGTCAAGCGTACTAGGAACTATAAATTGCTTAGACGGCATGTTGGTCTGGTCTGACTGAGGTATTCTTCACAAGTTAATTGAAAGTGTTTATGTTTCATATGAAGTGTATTGAAATGTTACTGATGATTAAGAAGAAAGACATAGTTGGAGAGTGGTATTTTCTGCTTTTGTGACAGTTGTTCTTCCATTTTAACTTAGATACATTTTATGAACACTTGACTGGTTTCATTGGTTTCTAAGAATTTTCACAGTTCCTTAAATAGAAGCGCTAGTTACTTTGCGTCAAAAATTTCATTTCGAGCTTTGTCATTTTTTAAAGGAGGGATTAGATTCCCAGTGTGGTGTTTATTTTCCCATCATCTAATGACTGACTACCACATAACATTGCTTGATGGGTAGACTTGAGGTATAGCCGATATACTTACCAGTGTCTGATAAAAAATTTCGGTGGAGACCGATGTGCTTTTCTGTGGGAAATTCCTTACTCAGACTAGTATCCCGAGTTAGACTAGAAGTAATCCTGTGGTACCAACAACAGCAGCAACATCCAGCGCCAATCACCATCAACGGAAGGGATTTGAAAGAGGTTACTTTTTCCACTTATCTAGGGAGCATTGTCTCAACCACAGGAGGAACGGACGACGATGTCAAATCGAGCGAGAATCGGGAAGGCGAGAAACACATTCATCAACCTGAAACCAATCTGGAAATCTTCGTCACTCAGCCTGCATCAACAACAAAATTTGGATTTTCAATACAAACGACGTCAAGTCAGTTCTTCTGTACGGATCAGAAACTTGGCCAGTGTGTCACCAAGAATATTTTCAACAGGTTGCGGACCTTTATCAACAACTGTCTTCGTTCCATACTGAAGATTAGATGGCCGTAAAGAATCACAAACAAGATGCTATGGGAACAAACAAAACAAGAACCAATCGCTCAACAAATATGCAGGAGAAAGTGGAGACGGATTGGACACTCGCTGAGTTGAGGAGGCGGTTGGGTGACATCGCGCATCAGGCCATAGCTCGAGTGGAACCCGAAAGGGAAGCGGCGAGTGGGACGTCCAAGGGTGACATGGAGGAGATCGTGTGAGGAGGAGTTGAAACAGTATGGATTAACATGGATGCAGGTGAAAAGTACAGCAGAAGACAGAAGCAAGTGGAGACGTGCAGTTGAAGCCCTATGTTTCACTAGGAACCCAAGGAAACAATAATAATAATAATCCTGTGGTGGTAAATGCTTGTTCTCATTCGACTACCCTTTCTACACTGTAAACCTTAGTAACATAATTTCCCAAGTAAGTGGAATAGTTGCGTGGTGCATGCTACTGACAAAATTTGTCAATAGTATATAAAGAGACGTTCATCAGGAGAAAAATATCAAATAGCTGGGGGATAGATTTGACATCAGAGAGAGCAGATGAATCAAGCAGTATAGTGTGCGAAACATGGCAGACAGGGAAAGTAAACATACGAAGGGCAGAAGCAGCCCAACACGGAAGACCTGTGCAAATGAGGATTTTAACATACAATATACAAAATCCTACCCAACCCTTGCGTCGGTGGCACAGTGATAGAATGCTCGCCGATCACGCATGTTGTCCGGGATTCGATCCCCAGCGGACTCACTCCTCTACTTCGCTAAGCCAGTAAATAATAAGACTGGTAAAGAGGGAGGCTAGCAACCCTATCCCGTAAAAATAAGCGCCAATGCTACTGGAACTTCAAGGCTGAAGCTTGAACGTGCCCCATATTCCACTGGGGACGTACAGAAACAAAACAAAAGTACAAAATTACGCCGGTATATCTTTATCAAGCTGCAAATAAACACTCCTTCACAGAGACTCTTGTCTTCTCCTGTTACAGTTTTACTTCCCTTTTTCTTTTTGTTACTCACACGTGATTAATTATCTGTTGCCTTAGTGAGTAATGAATACAATTCAGAAAAATAGTGTAGAGAAAAGTCACATTGATTAGTTGTATTTTACTTCCTTAGTGAAATGATGTACTTTAATAAAGGCTGCTTAACAATACACATTTCAAATTATTTCATATTTTCATTGTTTTTCTTTTCTTTGCAAATAGTGAAAATTGACATTGAAAAAGGGGTATTCTAGTCACAATGGTATGATGGCGATATTATTATTATTTTAAATTTCTAGTTGGTTGGTGCTTATTGTTATCATTCCTTTTTCGATCCGATTGGAACATGAGGCATACAATTTCGGCAACAGTGGTGTTGGGGTGAGATCGCTAACCTCATGCTCAACCTTCGCTTTTTACCAAGCTTACTCCCAACTAGGCGATGTAACCGGAAGGTCCTGAGTTTGAACCCCAACGGGGTGGGTTCATACTGACGAAGAGTCCCAAGTACTAGGACGAAACATCTGTCCAGTACTCCCTGTTGGTTTTCCAATGGTTCTCTGAATGATATCAGCTCATGATGAAATCCTGTAACCAATCAATCAAATCCCTACAAACCAATACTTGAATAAGACATTCACAAATAAACCATCCACCTTAGAGGACGCTACTACAGCAATAAAGTGGCTTTATTCCTGCATCTTGTTGTTTTTGAATCACTCCCTCTTTAACAGTTGGACTGTATGAGCATTAATCCAAAGTGATAGTCAGTAACAGAAAGCTTCTACAATAGACAGGGAATCTAAACTAATGAGCTCTTCAGTGGCTTTGAAGTGGTCAATGAGAGATACACTTATCATGAATTGGCTGAGTTTACGATTATTAATGCTGTTATTAATAATGCGTCTTGTTCGGGTTCCAGGAAGATTTTTTTCCGAAACATAATTCAAATTGAATACCGAACAAGTGTCTAGTCCTAATCTAATCCTTACCCTAAATGTCGCTTCTTAACCTGAACGACAGTCATTGAAATAAATATTTAGGCCATGAGTATTTGTAGGTGTTTTTGATGAATTTCAATGTGGATTTAGTCATGGATCAACATTAGCTAGAGAGATCATTGAAAACCACCAGGGGAGCACTGGAAAGATGTTCCATCCTATTTTGGAACTCTGAATCGGTAACCATCCAAGACTTCATTAGGAATTCAACTCGAAACTAAGCTTGTTGATCATTAAGTCACTTGGGATGGGGTTCGATGACCTATGAATTCTGACTCTGTCATTTTGTCGTATAGTGCTACTCTCAACCATCCACTTCACACTGACATAGTTGCGGACCTATTGCCTTCAACGTCTCGGTACACTTCCAAAACCTTCATCCAGTAGCCATCAATGAGGAGAGGATTAATATTTAGACTGCGAATTTTCGAGTGATTTGGATAAAATCTGTTGGAGATCACTGTAAATTTGAAGGCACTTGGAGACAACTGTTTCGTCCTAGTCTGTAACTCTCCAGGTGTGTGTGTGCTTTGATACCACAGTACCTTGAGATTACGAAACTAAGCTGGTTGACTATTCATCCACTGACCCGTGAATTCCAGCTGATGATGATGATAGTTCGTGACGAAATCTATATTTTAAAATTCAGAGGCATGTTTAAATAAATTTCAAAATTAAAGTTATCCTATCTATAAAATTTTTTATACCACTTGAAATGACGTTTCTCTGTCTCACTCTCTCTCTCCATGAATATACTGTGTTTCACGTGGTTCCACTGTTGTCGACTCTACTTTGATTTACCGCTTTGAACGTCATTAGCATGCACACACGTGACAATATCGCCAAAAAAAGTTCGAGCGTAATTAATAGCTAGCTAGCTAGCTAGTAAGTAATGCTAATGCTTGTCGTCAGTGTATTTATTGTATTGCTTAATTTAAATAATAATAATAATGATAATAATGATATAAGAACAACGTCAAAGATTGAACACCTAAAATAGCACTTACAACAGTAAAAGTTTATGTCATCAGTTGCTTTTTGTTTCGTACTTTAAGCGTAAGTAAATGATAAAACGAATTACTAAGCCTAATTATTCTTGAATCACATGTAAGAGTTCGTCATTTATAGGCTGTGTACGTGTGTGTGTGTGTGGGCGCGCAAATGCGTACATGAGTGAGTGGGTGGGTGTACGTGTACATGCTGAACCGTTCTAATATACGTTAACAAGTCATTTACGTCATTCTGAAGTCTAGACAGTAATAATAAAAACTTTTTTTTGAAATTGATTTACTATCTCTTTCTCATTTTCAACCCCCGTATCAATGAAAATGTTTCTTTTTTTAAAGTTAGTTGTAAAGTGACAGATTATTTAGGATCATTTATATATTTAATGTAAAATCTTGATAATCATAAAGCCTCTTTGGAGAGGAAATATCTTTCTTTACATTGGGCCCATGCGTGCGTCGGTGGCATAGCGGTTAGGACGCTCACCCACCATAAACATGGTCCGGGGTTCGATCCCCGGCCGCCAACGCACTCCTTTACCTCACTAAGCCAGAAATAATGCTGGTGAAGAGGAAAGGTTGGGCATGAGGCTAGCAACCCCATCCTGTAAAATAAACACTGCTACAGAAACTTCAAGCCACTTGCTTGAAGCCCTATGTTTCACTGGGGAACGTGAAGGAAAAAAAAATGCCATCCATCCACTCCTTAGGATGATGCCAGTCTGCAGTGAAGTTCTCGCTGTGATCAGTAGAATCCTTGTAAGTCGAACAGTTGAATGATTTGTTGACCGATGACTAAGTCATTTAAGAAACTCAAGTGAGAGTTTGTTACGACCTCATACTCACTCAACATTCGAAGATCTATGTGGTTAGTGAGTTAAGTCAGTGATTTTTTGCATTGCCAATGGAAATAACGCCTCCAAGCTTTTGAGTTTTGTACAGTGATAGTACTGTTTTCATAGGATAGTGTCTCTAGCCACACTCTCGACTTTCTTTCTTTCTTTTCCTGGCATACAGCTAATTAGGTGTGCTTTAGAAGTGTATCGGCTGGGAATTGATATCAAGCTTTCCAAGAGGTTGGTGAGCATTAAATGGATGATGCTAAGTTCACTTTAATGGAAGTGTAAAATACTTGGGCACTGTGGTAGAATGTAATTCCACATTAGATAAGTTTATTTTAATTATCACACAGCGATGATGCAGTATTAACAACTGGATGACAAGGTTTCGAGCATAAATTATTGCTACTCATAATCATATCAATTTTAGTCACACGGTTTCACAATTTGTCTTATAAATAAATTTTCTCTTTATTCTGTCTCTCCAACTTCCCTTTGTTGTTTGTTGCCACTTTCCATATCTCTGATATAGGCGATGCGTCATTCCGATTGCACGTTTGCGGTGTTGAATCGACGAAAAACAAAGCTTCAGTGATTAACCTCTCTCTTTCCCAATCCACGTAACCATATTACTTCTTAATAATCTCACCCTGTCCCACCCCTGTGGTGTGTGATTACATGCAAGTGAATGCAATGCAGTGCAATGGCTGAGCTTTCTTCTAGGTTATTTAACTTAGCAGGGTCAATTATTCTAGGTCTAGCTAAAAAATGTTATGCTCCAATAATCTAGTTGACCACAGTCTATTAGTTTGACTGACCTATGTAATTGACCTCACAGTCATTACATAGTGTAGTTGGTAAATTATACTATTTTTCTTAATTGGATCAATTGGGTTCTTAAGCCGACAAAGTTTATCTCTGAGACAGTTGGTTGGTTGGTTGGTCGGTTTAAATGCCAACCTAATTCCAGCCTTATTGAGAACCTTAAGTAAGGCCTTTGACGTCCCTTCTTTATACGGTGGTGCTACAGAAGCTTGAAATTCTATATTATTTTCGTTATTTTCATCAATTTTTATTACTAATCTTAATGTTTCTATGGCTCTTTAGATATTTCTGATTAAATTCTGGTGGGCAGTGTGTTATTCACTAGTAATACTTCCTTTATTTGTTTGATTTCGTTATTTAAATCTCCTGGCTTGCTAGTTGGGCTGTTGGCCCGCTTATACAGACATTTAACTGAACATTTTTATTTATCTATTCTAGATGGGATGAATTAAAGTTTAAGTATTTTGCATTAGAGTGTATCGGTTTCTGATAAATGCGAGTATCTAACCCCCCCCCCATCTTGTTTTCGTTTTATTCTACAGTCTAGCATACGCAAATCATCGTGTTCGTAATCTAACTCAGAAGTGAGTTAGTTATATTCCGTCTAAAATTGAGGGATATGTTCAGATTTCAACACGGTGAATGTGTTATCCACAAATCCCCACTATAACCTTTGTAGTGAAATAGAAACTAGAGGAAATTCAATTAGAAAAAGATGAAAAAAAATGATTAGTTTTGACATAACCAGTTCGCATATTAATATTCCCATTAATACAGATCTGGGGGTAGTTAGGAATGAACTGAACACTAATCCTGAACTCAAAAGTACCACCAAGCTCTCGGTTGATGAAATCATATTAGGTGTTCAGTTATGTCTAACCTCCACTGTATTACAATTTCAAAATAAGCTGTATAAACAAACTAATGTCATAGTGATGGGATCACCAATATCCCCAATAGCAACAAACATATTTATGGATAGTTGGGAACATAAACCTCTTAGAACGTTTAATCCGTCTCCTAGGTTATGGTGGAGATATATGGATGACACATTCACTGTGTTGAAATCTTAACATATCCCTCAATTTGGATTGGACACTAGTAACTAGTGTGATGTGTGTCTAGTCCTTTCTTTGGTGCAGACTGAATTCTAACAGTCAGGTTTTGTAATGTGGCCACCATTCTAGGTAGCTCGCCATCACGGTGCACATTGACTTAATGATATTAGATAGTTGGAGGCAATCTCAGAAGGGACATGAGTTCCTTCAGGGTTGCAGATACACCTTGCTGATGAGTGCCAACTAGCACGAAACCTAGGTCCAAGGCCTCCTGCCAATTGCCTCCAACTATCTAATATCCCTCAATTTTCCACACACATATACACTCGATATTAGACCTGAAATCAATAAGAGTAGGGTCGAAAACTAAGGAGTATTGGTTGGTTTGTTTTAGGGTTCTTTAGTATTATGCAGCCATGATCCCTTGTGGGGATCAAAATCCATTCCACCACCATTCTACTAACACACACATACATTTATTGATCTTATCCTGAAAATGATTGATAGATACTTTTGGAAAAAGAAAATCCTCTTTAGCAAGAAATTGAGGATATATTTGCATGTGTTTCTTTTGCATTTAAAAATGAACTGAACTAATCGATAATGAGATTTGGGTCAACTATATATATTTTATCGACCAGTATGCATTGATCAATGTTTAAGTAACACAAACGAATCAATGGGTCAAAATGTAAAATCATTTCGTGAATGAATGAATAACTGAATGACTGATAAGTATTTCTTAAAGTTAGAGCAACTGTTTTTAGACGTCTTCCCCTATTTTCTCGCTTAAAACATTGATTTCTTAGTTGAAACGAACTAAGTTCAGTGGATTTGTATTGAATGTCTTTGAGAAAAGATATATGCATGGGAGTTCTGTTTGTTTAATCTGTGTAATCTACAAATTGAGTTTTGAGGGATTTGATCGATTTCAAGATTGATCAGCAGCCGACTTGGTTCCCGGGCACGCTAAGTCTTCACGAATTAGCAGAAGCCAGAAGAGATGGGACATTGGATCCTATCCCCATGACTGAATTGTCTAAGAACTCGTCTTGTAACTTGAAAGTTTTTATTCCAATTTCTGGTTAGATCATGGGTGCGTACTGATGAGGAGTCCCAAACGGGAACGAAACAGCTGTCCAGTACCTCCTGGATGCCAAAATGAAGTCAGTTTCTGATCAATCTTTAGAAATAAAACTGTCAAGTTGCATTAGATGTCGAGAGCCTCTCAATAAAAATAAACCTGCCTCTTAGGGCAAACATGCAAAAAGCACACACCCACAAACAGTCCACAAGAAACTCTTATCCCCTAAAGTGTTTGAGACCATTTTCTGCTGGTGCTAAGTGGCTAATAACGCTTAACTCTAAACTGTTTGTAGTTCGATAGTGTTGACTGTGAATTAACGTATGGTTAATTCGTTATATCACAGACATGGTCGATGCACCAAGTAGGTCAGAAGCAATTTCGGATTATTTTCCAATGCACATTAGCTCATTAAGTGGTAACATACAACATCAAATAAGTTCTATTTATCAACTGTACTTTACAACTAATCGATAATCTCTATTAGGCAGTTGAGACTAGAGAGAAATATTAATACCCGTTTGGTACCTATTTCAAAAACAGGCATCGTGTCACAACCTTTATCATACTGACTAGTCTACGGACTGCTCATCAGGTCACATTACAGGCTGACATCAGTATCATAACCACTGGGAACTAAGTAAGATTGGACAGGTGTTTTCGTCTTGGTTATGGACGTTTCATCAGTGAGCACCCATTGCACATTACACCACTCAGTCTTTGGTTCAAAATCCAACGCTCCAGCCCTACCCAGAGTCCAGTCTTATCAGTGACCATCTGATACAAATAAAACATTAAAAAACTATTTTTCATAATAACTTACCTGTAAAATCTCTTTTCTCAGCACTAGTATTACATGTGTAGAAGGCTAAATTCTCTCCTGCATCTGTATCTGTACAGTGTTCAAGTTCACTGATACTGGCCAAGTATTCTGCATATCTTTGTGCATCCACGGCTAATTCTTCGTCGAGTATTAAGTCTGGACATCCATGTAAAGCCCGTAGACTATAATAAAAATAATAGGAAAAAGTTTTTTATTTTGAAGTTAATTCACGGACTGATATTATTTAGAGAACCATTGAAAACCAGGGTGTACCGGATAGTCATTTTTGTCTTATTTTGGGATTCTTCAGTAATATGGGAATCGAACCCAGGATCTCCAATTGACAAGAGGTAATACTAAATAGTCACACAGAAGGGAAAAGCAGTGGCCAAGGGCTTCACAGCTTTCAGTGGTTCTTTAAATGAAATTAATCAATCCCCTGTGAACCAACACCTGGATTTTTTGATCAAGCGAACATTGCAAATTCACTTAGTGGAAACTATATGTACGGAGTAACATTTCATTATGTATCACACAAGCACTTTAGGGGGCGTTAAACAGATGTTCCGACCCACTTTTCGACTCTTCAAAGCCTTATGTCAGACTGAGATGAACAGCTGTAGTCTTGTCAGGACTGGCAGTGTGACCCAGCAGTATCTAATTGATACAAATTTCACACGCTAATCACAACGTCAAGCTCTGCAGCCATAATGTCACTGTCAGGCATAAGCAAGAATAGATAATAGACTGCGGTCAAGCAGTTCTGACTGTTTCAAAAAGCAGTTAAAACAGTTGAGAGTGATATTGAATGAGCATGTATTTTTAATGACTTTGACAAACACTGATGATGGGTTTGAAGAACTTACTAACAGTGACAGTTCAAACTTCGGAAGGGATGGGAAACACAAACGACTAGCAACGGTTCCAAAAGGACATGATTAGGCATTATTTTAAGGTTATAGGCTGATATCGCATAAAGTTAAGGGTACATAACACATTTTTAGTATCAGCTTGTTACTGTTTATCAGCTGAGGGGAAAAAGAATAACTTATAATTCCACAACCCTATGTATTCTTGCGATGTTACCCCGGGCAGACCGTTGCGTGAAACCTGGATGGAAGACGACGAGTGGGTCGTCCGAGAGTGACATGGAGGATATCTTGCGAGGAGGAGATGAGACACTATAAGCTATCGTGGGACCAGCTAAAGAGCGCAGCACAAAAAAGAACAGAGTGGAGACGTTCTTTTCGAGCCTTATGTCACACATGTAGCCCAAGGGAACCACAATAATAATAATATAGTGGATAGACAGACAGATATCATGACAGGTGGACAGGTATAAGCAAATACAATCAAGTACAATCGTCAATATTAGTGCACAAGTCTCTTTGTTCATCGAATCATTTTGAAATATCATGAAAAAAGGGAAAAAAACAAACAAAATAAAGTAATTTAAGAAAACTAATCCAATAAAGAAGATCAATATTGGGAAGCGTGTAAACAAACGTGTTGATTTCAATAAGAAAATATGTCAAATCTAGCATTTTTAGATAAGAACAGTAGAAAATGTTAGATCGTGGAGGCGATCGTTAAGAAACCTTGGACCTAACTTTTGTGGTTGATGGCACTTACTAGTCTGCAAGGCGTATCTACAGTCCTGAAGGAACGAATATCCTTTCTGAGATTATAACTTAGGTCTCCGATATCAGTGGGCCCACATAGCCCAGTAGTAACGTCTTTGACTGCAGCCCTGGGTGACTGGTGAGTGCTAAAAAACCACGAAACCACGTCTAAGGCTTTCTGCCTATTGCCTTTAGCCTATTCATCACAGTGTGCCGTGATGGTGAGCCACCTAGAATGGTGGCCACATTGCAAACTTGACTGACAGCAGAATTCAGTCTGCACCAAATGAAGAATTAGACGCTTGACATTAGTTACTACTTTGTGTCCAAGCAAGATATCCATAATCCCACCAGGTCTTGTTTTTACACCTTGCATTCGTAACTCGCACATGCACAAAATCCATCTTCTAGTTTCTCTGTGCCCCGACACAAATGAAACCAATAATGAAATAAAAGGTAGTATTCAGATCAAATATAAAGTTTGACAATTCTGTGTATCCCCGATCCAGGAGAGAGGTATTAATTTAACATACTCTTCCGTACTCAAACGTTATCATAGATTTTGGTTTCTATGATATACACGAGTTTTGAGTGCCTATTTTAACTCTAACGGATTCAGATTATAAATAAATTATAAATCGATGATCGAAAGACTTAACAATGATTTCGAGGAAAGGATTGAGTTGAAGGAATGTTACTAAGTCTGTTATACTACTGATCATACAAACACACACACACACGCAAACGTCGTCCACACCTCATATGGTGATGGTTTAAATCATGCCATGACAGCAGTTTTAATTTGATCGATCGTCGAAGGTCTTCGAATATTTCATTATCAGTCCACCGATCGAAGACCACCCTAAATAATCTCTCTCTAAGCTTCCATTTATGATAGAAAACTCTAATTCTACCCTTATTCAAAACCCAGTTTGGTAGAGAGATTATCTTATTTCATTCTCAGAATAAATTCAGTGAGTATTTGTGTATAGTCAGAGACTTGTTATGAGTTTACCGTGGGTAGCACTGGATTAAGAGATTGATATTCGTGTAATGCACGGTGATCAGATGACTAATGAAATAAAGGCCTAGGCTGAACCAGGATTCAAACAATTAACCCTCAGATCTTGCAGTGACAACGACTCGGGTTTTTTTTATTGTACCTAGAAGTCATCTGAAAATGTATGTGCCGAAGTTTTTGGTGGAAGAGATCACTTCTACAAAACAGATAAATTTAGGCGTATGTATGCAAAAAAAACAACAAATAAACGTTTTGAATTCCAGAATTCCAGTAGAACACTAACTGACCACGCATGTGGTTCGGGGTTCTGTCCTCGTCCAATGCACTCCTTCACCTCGATTAGCAAATAGTTATCCTGATAGAGGGAAGATTAATTTTGAGGCTAGCGACCTTAACTCACCACTGTGAACCGTATCCTGAATAGTGCTGCAGGTACATATCGCTATAGACTTCCAAGCTGGTAGCAAACAGCCATTCAGTGTTTCATGTTTGTCGGTCGGTCGGTCGGTTTTCGACATAGAACTTTGCACATATGTGTGGAAGTTCAAGTCGCCACACTCCCTCCTCGTAGCACACAAAGCAAGAGAAGAAATTAGGAGAAATGCATAATATAGACAGTAAACAGAGGTGTGAGACAAAGGAATAGTAATAACGAAGAACAAAACAGTTTCATTAGAAGTCATAAGTCACAAGGAGTGGATGCATCTACGCCAGACATTGAGAACGATTTTGAGCCATGTTACCAATTGTTGCCAACCATCGGTTTTTACCGTCCCGAGGACCCCAACCAGGAAGTCTACACCTTCCTACGTGGCTGGTTTAGACTAACTGTTGTACATTTCATTGAGTGGTGCCATGTTTTGGTTTGACCGCCGCTAGCTCTTTTCCAGCCTGGCCCTATATCAGCTAACATTACCCGTCGAGGAAGTTGTGAGTTATTTCACAACTGATTTCAGCTTGTTATTAAATATAGACTGAAACCAGCTGGTAGATTTGGGAAAAGTTTAAAAGTTGAATAGTGGTCCCTAGCTGACTGATTAGAAAAGCCTTCTAAATTCTAGATTTCCGCATCACATTCAGTCATAAATCATTTACATCAAAAATAGTGTGCCAACCTATCGTTATGTTGGATAGTCTTGCAATCAGTTGATAACCAGCTCCTTTGCTTTCAAGCCAGTATGGTTATTTAATGAGATGGGAAGATCTAGCTGCACATCTGGTTTCATAATAAACAGACAGTAGCATAACAATCGTTCGCACGACATTTGGGCGTTATGCATACTGATGGAATTGATATGATAACTTGATAAACAGTTTGGTCAAGTAGCTCAACTGGTACAGCATCTCGGACTAATAACTTATAGACGGCTAGTTTGAGCTCTGCTGAGACTCATATATGTTTATATATTTCTTAGTGGTAGTATATCTATCTGCTTGATGAGATTTTAATGCGAGATCGAGTGAGTTTTCTATCACTTGCAGAAGCTCCATGCTTATCATTTCAAACAACCAAAAGCCTTCAAACATTCTGACATATAGAAGTGAATTACATCGTCCCATCCAAGACTTTTTCAGATAAACTCTGTCAGCTGTAAATAAGTTTAGGTAACAACTAAATACATTGTACCAACATGATGGTGGATATCAACGTTGTTCTGGTACTGAGTTAGCATCAAAATTTGTGACTGCACTAAGCTCGATGAAAAATGCTGGTGTTTTTCAAACTGTTGCTAAGAGAAGCAAGCACTCAGTCAAGTTATAAGTCTGATATTAAGATGTTGGAAGCGTCCAACAGGAGATCTGGTTGTCTACTATCGTCCGCAAGGCGTAAATATAAGTCGGAAGGTACCGATATCCCCCAGCGGGAAATTCGAACTCATATCAGCCAGTACTGCAGTTAGAAATGCTGCCGTTGACCTATTTGGAATCCGTAGCTATCCATTCCAAACAAGTTTTTGGAGTAACTCATAATTAAGTTTGTGCTGTCTATCGAGATAAGATTTATGCATTTTTTTATTATTTTAAAACGTGCTTTTACCATGGAAACAGTAACTGTGATTAAAAATAGGATGTAGGTCGACGTTTAATTGTATGTTTATCAAAAAATCAAGAAAAATCCGCAAACGGTATTTTTTTTCTTGTTGGTATTCGTTATCAATGTTTATCTGCAACCTGAATGTAACTGTTGCCACCTTGGAGAGTCTAACTTGATCCATGTAGGTTCTATATTTAGACATAATCAACTAGTATAGACTTGAGCACCTTTCCAACTAATAAAAATTGTGTCCACTTCCCATGAGTATGAGGTTTTCGCCATTTTCTTAAATTTCGATATACCCTATTCCACCTTTAGACAGAAGTTTGACCATGTCAGAACTGGAATAAATTCCATGTGTTGGAGGATTTCATCATGAGCTGACATCATTCAGAGAACCATTGGAAAACCAACAGGGAGTACTGGACAACTGTTTCGTCTCAGTGTGGTGCTCTACATCAGTACGCACCCACCCAGGACCTTCTGGTTACAAGGCCAGCGAGCTAGTAGACCAATAAGTCACTGGAATCCAATCCAATGGCCAGACCATGAATTCTAACATCTGCCAATTCTAGACATAGCGCAACCACTTCGCAATGTCTGCTGCACCATATTGGCCCTATTCGGGCAGTGACCTGGGATTATAGTGGGAGGCCATGACCAGTGGGGCACAACAGGTTGAAACTGAGGCAGTCACTCATCGAAGAAGACATAGCGAAGTGGTTGCGCTATGTCACGAATTGGCAGAAGTTAGAATTCGTGGACTGGCCACTAGATCGGGTCCCATAGGCTTAATGGTCTACGAGCTCGCTAGCCTTGTAACCAGAAGGTTCCGGGTTCACCCGCTGCTGGTGAGTGCGTACTGCTGAAGAGTTCCAAACTAGGACAGAGGAATTAGCTGTCTAGTACCCCCTGCTGGTTTTCCAATGGTTCTCTAGATGATGTCAGCTCATGATGAAATCCTCCAACCAATCAAACAAAAATCCCCTACAAAACCAATACTTGAAAATCAAATATGTATTGCATAAGTTTCGGTCGTTCAACGTTGGAATGCTTTCCAGACACGCACATAGTTTGGGGGTATGATTCCCAAATGGCTCATTCCTAAATTCCACTTAGTCATACCTCGTAAAAAAAAAGAAAACCACTGCTTGAAGCCCTAAATTCTACTGGGCACACAAAAGAGTAGCGAGAATGAAAAATAACTATTGAACGGTTTGTGATTATAAGCGAAATTCACTGATCGACTTCTCTCGTTATCAACATATCAGTTTGAAAATTAAGAATGACAAATAAATGAGCCATGTCATGTGCGAATTCTATGTGTCTCATGTAATAACATTTCTGTAACCATAATAATAATAATTTAATCTAACTTCATGACGTCAGTAGGAATTTCAATGAATCGAAAAATTCGAAATTATTTTTGTCGTTGTTGAAAAATAATAATGAATAGTTTGGCAATATGCTTGTTTAACATATTCCTAGAAAAAGCCTAGTCGCACACATATGCGCAGCTGTTTTAAATTTATTGCTCACTATTACTGTTTAAATGCAATCACTTATGCAGACTTAAATCCCTGCTCTGTGACGTAATCGCGTCTACACCTAAAGAATCCAAGTTTAAACAATTAGAAAAACGTATCACTTGTGTCCTTAACAAATTCTGGAAACCATTATTTAAATGTTTTTCATACAAGCTCTAACGTTATTATATATATATGTAAATACGCTTTATCGTTATTTTATCACTCAAGTGGACATTGGTTAGTTCATTACAGTTGGGTTATTTGGAGGGATTACGGAATTCACTGACAGATTGTCACACCAAACAACATCGTAACTGATGCTTGTTTCTTATTCTGCGTCATTCACATATACCGCTTATCATAATGGCTATTTATGACGCTACATTACAGAACTTTACATGTATAATTTGTATTTAATGCTAATTTTATAAAATAAGCCTAACTAATGTAAGATTTAGTACACTTTTTCATAGTAAATTATAAAATTAACAAAAAAAAATATACAAATCATATCAACTTACCGATTATGTTCAACAATACATTCTTCATTGAACTCTTGATCAAATTCACCCGCCATATTCAAAAACACGTTTTGAAAATATTGGAGATAATCAAGTCACTTATAAATTAAATAAGTTACACTTATTAAATAAAGTATTTGGTTTTTATTTTGGGCAGATATCAGGAGAAAGCAAACAGATTTATTATTATTTTTTGCTAGTTAACCAATAGAATCAAAAGAAAAAAACGTGTTTTAGTTTTTCCATTGAATAATTTTGTTTGTATTGATATTGAGTTTGTTTTCTTATAGGCTCAATTTGAAGGTCATTGTGTCACACACTGTTCAAATCCTGATACAACTTTATTCTCATATGATTATTTGCGTAGTTCAGTTTGGTTTTGATTTGCAAATATACTTGTTGCATAATTACTAATTTATTATAAGTAGTATAGAATAAAATAAATAATCCTTTCTGTGTTTTGTTAAATAAATATAGTAATGCTGTTTCTGTTCACAACACTGATGAATTCATCATTGTTCTTCCTCACCTCAATCATTTATTTGTTCATTTGAAGATCAAAGAAGGCAGACTCCAGGAAGGCCAGTTGATGAATAAATTTGCATATTTTACTAACTTGCTTACATACTGATAGTGACCTAATTGAATGGGAATTAGTTAGAGAGCGAGTGAGCAAGAGAGAGAGAGAGGTGGAGAGAGAAACGTCATTCAGTATTAATGTTTGAATTAAGTAATAACAGTAAGATTAATACTGATTTTTTATGCAGTCAAACGATTACCTTTTTTTTAAGAAGTTGACGTGAACCATAATATAAGTGAATTGTTAATGAAACGAATTGAGGTAACTATGATGAACCCCTCTCCCCCATAGAGAAGATGGTTCGGCGACTTGGCGGGTCACCAAAAGCATTTCTAACAGCCTAGTGAACAGTTCTGTCAGCAGCTGCCTTCTCTGGCTCCATACTGAAGATCAGATGGCTAGCCAGAAGAGGCTTCAGCCGCACGTGTCTATTGCGGTCGGTTTTATGCCAACGTTTTCACCTTGCTGCACGTCTTCCCACATACTTTCATCTCCTCTTCATATCACGTCCTCCATGTCACCCTCACACTGACGACCAACTCGCCACTTCCCATTCAGGCTCCACTCAAGCGAGAGCCTGACATGTGATGTCACTTGATGGTTTGTTTTCTCAGAGTACAACTAATCCACCTCCATCTTTTTTACATATATGTTTGCTTCCAGAGATCCCTCATTATTGCTGATCTTTTCTGGTCATCTGATCTTGAGCGAAGTATTGAGCGACGACAGCTAATGATGAAGGTCTGTAGTTCGTTTGAGATGCACTTTATGACGCGCAGTACAAGTCTCTGATCCGTATAGCGAGTAGCACTGACTTCACATTGGAGCTGAAAATCCGGATCTTATTTTTCATGCCAAGGAGTGCTGTTGACCTCTACACAAACATGAGAGAAATGAAAGCTTGTCTTGCTTTCCCGATCCTCACTTTGATATCCTAGTCAGTTCCGTCCGCCTGTAATTGAAACAATGCTTTCCAGGTAGGCAGGTGGAGGAGGTTGCTTCTTCCAGATTCCACCCGTTTGTGCTAATTATTATCTGTTGTTGTTTCTGTTGCTGTTGGCCATGAAGCTTCATCAACTCTGCATTTTTCCTGTTCACCTGAAGGCCTACCTTTGGTACTTCCTATGCCAGTATGTTGCTTTCACTTACGAATCTTCCAGTTTGTGGGAAATCAGACATATATCATCGGCGCAGTCCAGATACTCCAAGTTTTTTGTGTGGGTCCATTTTATGTCTGTCTCCTCGTCGCCCACTGTCTGCCACCATTATCCAGTCTACTGCAATCAGGGAAATCATTGGAGATAGTAGGCAACTAGCTTGTATTACTTCCGTTGTGGATTACTTGGCATTTAACGTTATCGTCCAACTGCTGGAAGAGGTGTATAATTGTTGGCGGCACCCCTTGGTAGTAACGAAGTAGTTTCCAAATCACCTCTCGATCGACACTGTCGAAGGTCTTTTCAAAGTCGATGAAGTCGAGTTAGAGAGCTGATTGCTATTACAAGCTCTGTTCAACGGTGACACTTAGTGTTGCGATTCGATTGATGCGTAGCTTGTTTCTCTTTAATCCAGCTTGTTCCTGTCGAGATTTTTCATCCAGGACATGTTTGATTGTCTTCAGGATGATGCGGCTTAGTATTTTGCTTGGGATGGACAAGAGCACAATGCCGCGTCATTTCTCGCATTGCCTTAAGTCTCATTTCTTTGGCAGTTTGAATAAGTAGCCTTTGTTCTAATCCCCATGTGCTTTGCCCTCTCTCCACACATTCTCCAGTAGTAGTGTCATCAAGTCCACTGTTGTCTCTGGGTCCATTTTCAATGCTTCTGCTGGGATGCCATCTGGTCCTGCTGCTATTGCAGTTCTTAGCATCTTGATTGCCTTCAGGATTTCTTTTTTCGTCTGAGGGTTGATATCCACTGGTACTTGTGCTTCCACTGTTGGTATTATTGGGCGCTTTTTAGGTGGCGGTCGATTAAGAACTCCTTTGAAGTGTTCATCCCAGTGTTTCCTTTGCTCCACCTCTTTGGTTACTGACTTTCCCTTGTCATCCTTCACTGGCCTAATTTGAGTTGAACTTTTCCCCGATGGGAACCTAGTTGTTTGGTAGAGTGTTGCGAGGTCTCCTTTGCCTGCAGGAGATGGCTTGCCAAAAAGGATTAGCGACGAGCAACTAATGCAACAGCAAGCCAACTAAGAACCTATTAACCAAGAAATATACCGAAGGAAATGGAGATGGATCAAACCCGTGCTTGGGAAACAGTCGAGTAATGTTGCTTACCAGGCCCTTGAGCATGACCAAAGTGGGAGACGAGGACCTGGGCTTAGGTACGAGTTTTATGTGAAAGAGCTGTTGTGAATAGGAGATGAGAGCTAACGAGTGGCTGAAAAGACTGAAATCAATAGGATGAAATAGAGATGTGTTTTTGAAACACCGTGTTTCATTTGGAACCAAAGGGATTAGTACTATAATAATAATAATAACAATAATAATAGAGAAGTTGTGAACTAGCTCCTAACAAGGTGATAAATAGAAACTGTGCCAAATGGGATATTATATTGACTTACTAATTATTCTATAAGCGCCACTACACACGTGGGTAAAATCACAGAATGGGAAGCGACATGTTGGACGTCTGAAAGGCGAAATACAGGAGTTCATGTGAATAGGAAGTGAAAGCATGTGAGCAGTCATGATGCCCGATGAGTGAAAGTGACGGCACAAAATCGGTTGGTATAGAGTTGTGTGACTGAGGCTTCATGGTTCACTCAGAACGAAACTCAAGAATACCGTTAATAATAGTAATTCAATGATGAGTTTTATATATGCGTCTCAAACTGTATACGCAGCTGGCAAACAATGAGAAAGACTGTAAGTGAGTGCTGAAATTGATAACTTAATGGAAAAATTAAAGATGAAGTAGTCAGAAGAATAAAATAATTAGGACAACGATAATTTGAAAAAAGTCTCAGGAGAAGGGGGGAGCTGTCACCTGTTTTACTTTCATGTAACGATAACCAAGATAAGGGAATTGGCTGCACGAACATCTTCTGAACACACAGGCTTAGATGACTTCTTCTTCAAGTGAATTCCAATAGTTCCAGCTGTATGCAGAAGACCAACTCGTAAAGCAAAATTAATATTGATCAGAATGCGGTGAATAAGCCTTAATGCTTTAATAGTATCTACATGGCGTGCTGAAACGGAGTTATGAATAGATCTTATTTGTTGAATTAGTTGTATTTTCTGAGCTGGCTGATTTAACTGCGCAGCTTTCGTCGTTCCTTCTTCTAGATAACATCTTCAGCCAGTGCAGGTTTTAGCACAAAATGAACTCATTTAAATTTTCCATGGATGATATAATTGTATCTCCTGGCGATCACTGTCATGACTGCTTGTTAAGGATTTTTATTGACTTGGAACTGAGACTTTCTCGTCCTATGATTTACTTTTTATTAGCTGGTAAATTTATTCCTTTGTTTATCCTCTGCTTAATGTTTCAGGTTGTATGTAGTCGATAAGGTCCAGCGGAATAAAATGAAGTTGTCATATTATTATCCCTCAGCCTTTTATTGTTCAGAATTAATTTTATCTTCTTTCTCAGTTAGTTGACAGAAAACGATGAACAAATGAATGTTTATGCTGATTAAACCATGAGGTGAAAGGAATCATGGTTTCAGCGGCAATTAGATCTGGACATCGGTTAACTTTTGTATTTTAGTTAGGTAATACATTCGATCAGTTGTTACAAGGTTATTGACATGGAGTAATTTATTTCCGGGTTCTGTTTATTTATGGTATGCACTAGCTTGTTATTTCCAGAGGGATTTCCCTTCGAAACTAATTGAGAAAAAGACAAAAACAGAATACAATGCAGAATAGTTCAGAAGATTTTATTTGATTGTTGGTAAATGCCAAAAGAATCCGGGATGTACAATTTGCTCCATTTGAGAACTCAAAATGTGATGGTGTTGATAGTTTATTTAGGAAACTTTCATTGCTCTACTACGAATATACGGAATTTCACCAAAAGGCATATACCCCCAAGCCAACCTACCAAATCAAAGACCCCACCAAGGAAAGCACAAAGAAAATCACCCTATCACATATAAAGGACATCTCAGAAATCAGTGCAAGACTCTTGAAACCCTTAAGAATTGATCTCGCACACAAACCGACAACATCACTTCACTCGGCTGGCTCTATGTCAACCAAAAGACTGAACAATGAAAGAAGATAAAAACACCAGCATCTACAAAATAAATTGTAACAACTACGAAAAACACTACCTTGACCAAAGTGGACGTCCCCTTCGTCTTCGTATCCATGATCATAACCTAGCTTTGAAAACACATGACATCCACTCCCTAGCTCATATCACTGCATACAGACAACCACGGACATCATTTCGACTGGGAAAACCAGCGTTCAAATATTAGACAGAGGAAACACCAAGAATGCTAGAGAATTTTTAGAA